GAGTTCCTGCTAGGCTTTTTCTACAAAAGAGCCCTGCATAGGACACAGGCAAACCCCATTAATGATATTATTTTCTACTCAAAGTACAAACAAGAAGCAGTTGATTGACTGGGGAACCCACAAAATCCCCAATAAATGTATTTTAGCATATGCAAGACTAGGTTTTTTCTAAGGGACACCATAAAAGGGAGGGTTACATTTCCATAAAATTAGTTACTCCTCGAGGGGGTATTTTTTGTCCTCCCATGACCCCTTCCCCCCCCCAGCTGAGAACAAGTGGTGGTGGGAGAATGGAGGTCACTCTCCCCCGCCCTCCCCAACACTCACTCTGCCTCCCAACGCCATGGCTGTTCAGACTTGCAGCGGCGACAGTGCTGCAACAGTGCTGCCACCCTTTTTACTTCACTCCTCCACTCGCTTCTGAGGCCAGAACGACTTTCCCCCTCAGAGTGGCACACACAAGACAGCCCAGTTGCCTCCCAATCCATGTGCCAGCCCTCCTCCTCCTCTCTTTCTCACCAGGCCCGTCCCTTCATTGACAAACTGTTGCTCCACACACCAGTTTTTGCCCCCACCCCTCACGGTCTCCGTTTGATAAAACATGAAGCTGGTGGGTGTAGTGGTAGCAGCACTGGCTGCTCAGCTCTGCCCCCCATGTAGTGGCTTCACCAATCCTTGATTAGCTGCAGTCACAGGAAGCGAGTCCAAGGAAGTGGGGGGGGGGGGAACACCATGCCTCATCTTTCTCTGCCTTTGCTACCATTCCCCTCCATTCTATTTTACCTCAGCCTCTTATCCTAGCAATTTCCTTTCTATTTCTTGACAGCTTCAACCACATACACACCTCACCACGTGCACCTGCTCACCCCCCTCCCCATCCAAGTAGCCTCCTGCCTTTCCTCCCTTGCACCGGTTGCTTGTGGGCTGAATAAGAACCCTTTACGGGCCTGTTCTGGCCCATGGGCCATATGTTTGACACCCCTGCAACAGAGAATTCACAACAGTGAGTCCACAATGGGGAATTTCCCCCATGGGGTAGAAACTTGTGTTTATCTGTTGTGGCACTGATGAGACTAGCTTGCATACTGATTATTCTGCGTGTTGTGTTGGACGTATACATCACTGTGAGAACAGGGCCAATAAGACCATTAAATCCAGGGACTAAAATTACCCAACCACACCACTGACCTCTTGCGCCATAGGGATGAGACACCTGGGGCCGTACAGGATCTCTTGATATTTTGTGTAAGACATTTCTGACAGAGGTTAATCCTCTTCCCTAAAGTTTCTCCCAATACCGCTATCAGCCTCAGGGCCAAAATACATGTTATGAGTCACACAAAGTGGGTCATTGGCACATGGAGCAGAGGAAGGGGCAAGCAGGTCCATTGCAGCTGTTTCCGATGGCAAAAATGCCGCAGAAGGGAAGGCGGGAAGCCCGCCTTCCCCCATGCAGCATTTGGAGCTGTGCAGAGAAACAGAGAGGTTTTTATAGGTTAGTCCCTGTGTGAGCATGTGAATGAAGTTATTTTGGAGAACTGTGGCTTGCCGAAGGTCACCCAGCAGCTGCATGTGGAGGAGTGGGGAATCAAACCCAGTTGTCCCACATGACAGTCCACGCTCCTAACCATTACACCAAACTGGGAAAGCAGACATGTTCCCTGTGACACTTTCCCCCTCCATTTCAACTAATATCTGCTGAAGGGACCTTCTATTGGAGCAATGGCATGAGAGGGGATTAACCTCTTCTTCTCTAGTGCCATGGCCCTGATTCCATCCCCTCCCAGCTTGTAGTTTAGGCTTAAGAAAAATATTTCTTGGCATACTCACATATAAGAAGCATGGGAAATTGCTTGAGAAGCAATTCCGCACTTACATTTATTTATTTATTTTTGCCAATTGTGATGAAAACAGTTGCAGGCAGGGTTCCCTCTAAGCTGAGTTAGTGTGAGCTAGCTCACCATTTTTTAGCCTCTGGCACAGACATTTTTGTCATAGCTCAGGAAGGAGGGCTCCAGAGCAAACTAATTTATGCAGTAGCCAAATTGCTCACTCACAACTTTAATGCCAGTCGCTCACAAAGTAGAATATTTACTCACAGCACTCTGCAGCTGAGAGGGAACATTGGTTGCAGGAGGGACATTTTTAACACTTTGGTGGAGAAAGAGGAAGAGAGAGCAGAAGTACTTTTTGATATTAGCACGAGGAGAAAACATTTTCGTGGCGGAGAGGAAAGCACATTTTATTACTACTTAGGACCAGCTGGCTGAGTCCGTATAGGATCTCTGAAGCGTGTTCGGAAATATATTCCTTCATCCTCCAGAGGCCCAGTAGCTGAGTATGTGGGACTCCGGGGATGATGGTGGATACTCCTTCCATGAAACGCTGAAGTTACTGGAATATTTTATTTAATATATAATGCAAACTAGGGAGCTTTAGCACTTTCCACTAGCCAGCAGGGAATTGAGAATTCCAATTCCAAGAAGTCCTAGTTAGAGAACGTTAGCAAGTTTCCAGGCTGACAATCCCGCTTCCATTCGAGAATGTCAACTCTGGACAGGGGCCTGATCCTGCAGCAGCTGTGTGCAAAATGCTGCTTCTTCAAGGTGAAATAATATCTGCCCGACTCTGGTAAACATTGCTTGGTCTAGACTCCCCACGGAGATTAGGAATTAAGACAAGGAATGAACTACAATCTTCTGCAACACGTTGGTTTTCCTCTCATGGTAATGGGCTTATAGCAGTCCAGCTTCTGGCTCCCTCAACCTGTGGTCCCTGGTCAAGTGTCCTCTTACCTGACAAAGGCTCTCCGCCTTGGGCTGTTTTTTCTCTGGGCATTCCCCACCCCCACAGAAAATCAGCGCAGCAGTCTGCTCGCCACACTTTTTTTTGGTCACACTTGAGCTACGGTTGCCAGTTCCGGCTTGGGGAATTCCTGGAGTTTTGAGGGCAGTACCTGGGAAGGGACTTCCATTTCTCCTAGACTCTATGGTATACCAAAGGACATACCATATATACTGTAAGGTATACCATAGAGCAGCGATGGCGAACCTTTTAGAGACCGAGTGCCCAAACTGCGACCCAAAACCCACTTATTGATCGCAAAGCACCAACACGGCCATTTAACCTGAATACTGAGGTTTTACTTTAGAAAAAACCGCTCATACATTAACTTATGATCCAAACAAAGTAAGGAAAGAAATCCCAAATGCTTTCATTTACTTAAAATTATTTGGCAGAGAATTCGACACTTTAATGGTGGTCTGGGCCTGGCTGGGACGATGGCACGTGTGCCCACAGAGAAGGCTCTGAGTGCCACCTCTGGCACCCGTGCCATAGGTTCACCACCACTGGCCTAGAGTCTACCTTTCAAACCTGTAATTTTCTTCAGGGAAACTGACCTATGTCACCTGGAGATCAGTTGTAACTGCAGGAGAACTGGATAAGTCTATCAGTGGCTACTAGTCATGGTGATTGAGGAGAACCTCCACATTCAGAGGCTTAGTGCCAGACCCAGGAGGCAACATCAGGGGAAGGCCTCAGACTCTCTGCCCTGTTGCTGGCCCTCCAGGGTAACTGGTTGGCCACCGTGTGAGGCAGGATGCTGGACTAGATGAACGGCTGGCCTGATCCAGCAGGGCTCTTCTTAGGTTCTTATGAACCTTCTAGGGTTGGTAACCCTAGCTCAAACCCAGCACAAGCAGCAGTTAAGGACTGGAACAAACAGGGGGAAAGAAGGAGGTAATTTGGTGGTCACTGTGTTCACATTGGAGGGTGAAATTGGGGTACGGGATCTGGGGAGAGGGGACAGCATGGCAGGAAGGAAGCTGGCTGAGTGGTCATGTCATTGCCAAAGAGGCTAGGTGGCAGAAGAGAGAAGTGGCACAGCTGTGGGAAAAAGAGAATAGAATTTGGAAGGTTCAGTCTGGGAGTTTATCACATATATTTAATGCAGCCTGCATAAAATGGAAAAAAATGATAGAACTGGCCAGGTTTCCTCTTCCTCCAACATACCAGTTTGGTGTAGTGGTTAAGAGCATGGACTCTAATCTGGGAGTACCGAGTTTGATTCCCCACTCCTCCACTTGCACCTGGCTGGATGACCTTGGGCAAGCCGTAGTTCTGATAAGAGCTGTTAAAGCTCTCTCAGCCCCACCTACCTCACAGGGGTGTCTGTTGTGGGGAGGGGAAGGGAAAACCGATTCAGCCACGGCGGAAATCGGGCCTCCAAATTCTTCTTCTTCTTTTTCTTCTTCTTAAAGTAATTCTGTTCAAAGAAATAACTGACTCGGCACTCAGCCAGAGTAGGACACGTAATGCCATTTGGGTGACTTGTTTCCAGAAGTCGGCAATGTCAATAAAATTTAAGTCACAGAAGAAATTATTGTTGCTGATGTCGGCGGAAATGGTTTTACTCGTTTTCATGCCACCTGAGGACACTTTTGTTGTCCAAGAAGAAAAGTTATTTCCCTCTGTTAATAACAATGACTTTTTGCGGTTTCCCTCCATGATAAAAAACAGCAAACTGAATGTATTCTAAATAAATGCAAACCACATCGTGGCTTTTTAAAAGAAGTCTTCCCTTCCAATGAAAAAATGTAACCCACCCTGAGCCCGCTTGTGGGGGAGGGCGGGATAGAAGTGCAATAACATCAATGAACAACAAAATAAATTATTGATGATATAGGTTAAGCAGTTGTTGGCCCTCCAGAGGAACTGGTTGGCCACTGTGCGAGACAGGATTCTGGTCTAAATGGACCACTGGTCTGATCCAGCAGGGCTCTTCTGATGTTCTTCTGAAGGCCTCAGCCTCTCTGCCCTGTTGTTGGCCCTCCAGAAGAACTGGTTGGCCACTGTGTGAGGCAGGATGCTGGACTAGGTGGACCACTGGTCTGATCCAGCAGGGCTCTTCTTCTGTGTAATTCGATAAAATGGAGAAGGAAATCCCTCAGGTGTATATGAGGGAAGATCTGTACCTCAGGGAATACCCAATCGCAAAACTAATGAAAATGCTTCCTAATGACCCTTTTCAAGGCTGCCTTCATTTCATTGTTCCTGAGGGTGTAGATGAAAGGATTCACCATGGGGTTGACCATGGTGTACATCATAGCAGCCCAGGTGTCTTGGTGTCCCACTACATTCGCATTTGGCTTGAAATAAACAAAGCTTATACCACCAAAGTACATGACCACCACACAAATGTGGGACCCGCATGTCGAGAAAGCCTTGAGCTTTGCACCAGCTGATGGAATCTTTATGATGGTGAAGAAGATGAACGCATAGGAAATGATAATCAGCGCAAACGGCCCCAGGATCTCGACCACCCCCTCAGTCATCAATACTACATCTATGATGTAGGAGTCAGAGCAAGAAACATCCAGAACAGGATAAAGGTCACAGAAAAACTGAGGAATCTCCCCAGGGTCACAGAACTCAACACGGGACATCAAAAATGTATAAATTGACGAGTGGAACATGGTGATAGTCCAGGACACTGTGACCATTTGGAGGCAACGTTTGTGGCTCATAATGGAGGAATAGTACAGCGGGCGGCAGATGGCCACGTAGCGGTCGTAGGCCATGGAAGCCAGAATGTAGCTGTCTGCATTGCCAATAAAGATAGCAACAAACATCTGGGCAAGGCAACCATGGTAGGAGATGGTCTTTCTCTGAGATAACAAGTTCTGTAGCACCTTGGGGACGATGGAGCTGGCAAAACCCAAATCAGCTACTGCGAGGTGACTGAGGAAGAAGTACATGGGGGTTTGAAGGAGCTGCCCATCACAGCGGATCAACAAGATGATGGTTACATTCCCCAGAATGGTGAGCAAATACATCAAGAGGAAAAGCGGGAAGAGGAGTGTTTCGACCTCTGGCTGGGAGGAGAATCCACGGAGGAAGAATTCGGAGACCAGAGTTGTGTTCTTGTGGTTCATTAGCATGGTGCTGCTGTACGGGTGAGAATAAGAAGAAAAGTTTTGGTTGATAGATTCCTAGGCATAAAATCCTCCCACTACTACCTAGCTGCCCGATTTGCATAGCGAAAAATCGAACTGCCAAGCAAACACACCCGTTTGGAATGGTGAAGTTTCGATCAGAGATGCAATGAGCTATCACAGGGGACTTTAAGCTGTGCTACCCCTGCCTTTTGTTCCAAATCCTCCCCCATGTTCTGACCCAGCATTCTGAATACATACTTGTCTACTCATAACGCTGCCCTCCCCAAGTAGACTCTGTAATTGCGGCAGCAATAAAATTGACTTTCTGGATCATATTCTGCTTGATTGTCCCGAATTTTCAGCTCTAAGAGATGAAATGATCGCCCCTTTATTTAATCTGGACTTCCTCTCTCCAGAAGTGAAATCATCCTGGCTACATGGACATGAAGGCCAAAAAAAAGTCTACCCTGCATATGGCAAAATTTCTAGCAGCTATTGTTAAATCACACGACAACTTTTGTAGTAGCGACCTTTAAGTTCTTCTGCGTTTTCCTGTGGGATGAGGTTTATGGTGGGATGAGGGTTTGTTGTTTATGACTCTGGTTGCAAAAACAGTAAGTAATAATAATGTTCCATATGGCCCTCCTATGGAGCTGCTGTGGCTCAAGTGGTTAAGATGCTGAACTGCAGGCTGTGGAAGGTCAGTAGTTCAGCAGTTCGAGACCCGAGTGTGCTGCATGACGGAGTGAGCTCCCGTCTCTAGTTCCAGCTCCTGCCAACCTAGCAGTTCGAAAGCAAGAAATTGCAAGTAGATCAATAGGTACCACTTCTGTGGGAAGGTAACAGCGTTCCGTGCGCCTTGGTGTTTAGTCATGCCGGCCACATGACCACGGAAACGTCTTTGGACAGCGCTGGCTCTTCGGCTTTGAAACGGAGATGAGCACCGCAACCCTAGAGTCGGACTCGACTGGCTTTTGAGCAAGGGAACCTTTACCTTTACCTTTTTATATGGCCCTTCTATTTGTTTTTGTTTAAAGAAACAGCCTTTGGGATTTATTACGGCATTTGCATGTAATATATAATATTCCACCAGACCTGCTTGCTTCACTGACTGTGTATCCGATGGTGGCCTATACTGCAGACTGGTTCAAATCTAACTATCATGAATAACCAGGGAAACCTAGGCCCTAGTAGCTTGATAGGCCTTGGGAATTCTAAGTGTCATCTATTGGTGCCCAGGGATTCTGGCCCCAGCAAGAGAACTTATCTGCACCTTTCTGTGGAATTAGTGATTGTGCATTTATTTTCTGATCAGCACCATTGGGTAGTGTCCGTGTCATGAGGCACACCACACATTCCTCCCGCCCTCCCTCCCTAACCACTTTGATTGCCCCAGACATCAAACTAATCTCTCTCTGCTTCTTGTTTCCTTCTGCCCTTATGAAAAATCTTTGCTTTCACTGGTGGCCAATAACATGAACAGCAACCAAAGGGCTGGCCAGAGACTTAATAGAAGGAATCCCAATGTGACAGCAGCAGCTGTGGCAACAGCCAGTGGTAACATGTAGGGGGAAGGCTCAGGAGGGCTGGAATGCCCCTGTGAAGTGCTAACTAGGTCTTCCCTCCTTGCCTCTGCTGCTTCCTGAAGACACCCACCAGTAAGGACACTGTTGGTCAGTGCTCAGTGGTAGCCTCTTCTTCCTACATGCCACACAAATAATGTCCTTCTAATGTCTTAAGAACATAAGAGATGCCAATGTTGGATCAGGCCAAAGGCCCATCCAGTCCAACACTCTGTCACACAGTGGCCAAAAATACCAGGTGCCATCAGGAGGTCCACCAGTGGGGCCAGGACATTAGAAGCCCTCCCACTGTTGACCCCCCCCCAAGCACCAAGATGACAGAGCATCACTTGCCCCAGAGCCCCTATCTATACCTTGTGGCTAAGAGCCACTGATGGACCTCTGCTCCATATGCCTATCTAATTCCCTTTTGAAGCCGTCCATGCTTGTCCGTCTTCCATGCTTAGCCGTCTTCTAATGTCCTGGCCCCACTGGTGGACCTCCTGATGGCACCTGGTATTTCTGGCCACTGTGTGACACAGAGAGTTGGACTGGATGGGCCTTTGGCCTGATCCAACATCGGCCTGATCCAACACTGGCGTCTCTTATGTTCTTATGTGCCAGTACTCACTGTTAACTAGAGGAGGGGAAGATGATGGTTAGAATGAGTGGTAGTTTGCTGGCTTGTTCTTCATGGCTTATGTTAATGGATGTGTCGTTTTATTGTACCGTTTGGATTGTGAACTGCCACTAACAAGTCTCAGTGGAGAGGGGGGCTGTGCAGTACAATACAGGAGAGGGGGCATGTACGTTTTCTGAACAAATACATTCGGACACAGAGGAGTATGATTCCCCCATCCCTCTGGAGAAACTCCAGTGTCTGAAAATGTCTCGAAATCTAGAAAGGGAGTGAGGGTGAGGTTTTACAGAAGACAACCAGGGTCCTTTAACTTACAGTATGACAGGCGGTTTAACCTCCCCAGATGTCACCCATAGTCCACACAGTGCTAATGAAATTCGTAGCCTTAACCCTCTCCTGTCTCCTTAACCAGTGCAAAACATCCATTCACCAGCAGAATTTTGCCAGGAACGTCATTGCAGATTTTCTCTCTCATCAGAAGGTTCCAAAAGGTTGCCCTTTAGCACTCAGAGAATGGAAACCTTGGTAGGTTTGCTAATGGTAGAAGCCATATAGTGCACAAAGCATTCCTACTTACCCAGTTGATGAATACAGCTCAAAATATACTTTCTCTTTCCAGAAGCAAGAGGCAGAATTGTGTTTGGGTTGCTGATGCTGCCAATTTTAAGGATGCAGGGAGCTTCGCACAGGGAGCATCTTCTGCTGAACGGATCTGGAGCATCCTTTGTCGTAGCACGGAAGGTGGTGATGCAATGGTATCATCAGCTTTTCTCCATGCATTTGGACTCTCGGGAGCTGTGATATCCAGACCTGACGGAAGGAGGATGGTGCAGCTGGGTTCCCTCTTGAGAGATGCTCCCAGGAGTAGCTCAGAGACACCATCTCAAAGGCTTAGCCAATTAGCCCAGTGTTTACAGCAGTCTCCGCTCTGCCGTGGAAGGTTGGGCCAGTTATACACTCTTTGCCTAGCCTACCTCACAGGGTTGTTGTGAGGCTAAAATAAAGGAGAGAATTATGTAAGTTGCTTTAGGTCCCCACTGAGGAGAAAGGCAGAGTATCAAGGCAGTAGATAATGAATAAGTAAGTCGTATCGGTTTAAGGTCTAACGGTCACACAATTGCGTCGCCAGAAGTTAGCTAGAAGCTTTCCACTTTGCACAAATAAAATTACTTTAGTTCCCTCTGCAGGTCTCTGGAGAGGCACCATATAAATGCCCTAAATAAAAAATATAAACAGTTGCAACAATGGTCTGGTTTGCTGTGCAGGGCTGGAAGGGGTCCCCCCTCCACACTGCTTTTATCTCCCTGGGGAATATGAATGGAGTTCACATTCAGACTAAGCCTGCATACATGTCTTAGGGTGCAATCCAATGCACCCTGACCTGGGAGTAAATACCATTGAATGTTATGGGATTTACTTCTGAGTAGACAAGCACAGGATTGTGCCAATAGGATGCTTCGTAGTAGACTAATCTTATCATGCAAGAGGTTGATATCCCTGGTTCCAGAGTTGAGTTTTCGATGGGATATTCATGATCCGAAACTTATTCTCGGAGGTGGGTTTTTAGAGACCACATTGAGGCTATCATCCTGTGCTAAGTAACTCAAGACTTCATGGCCAGTGTGATGGTATATGGGCCTGGGTGACTCCATCTTTGCTACATGATGGTTCCCTAGAGTCTCGTGGGAGAACACCAATCACCTGCTCCCAAGAGAATATTCTCTCTCTCTCTCGTTTGTTAGCAGTTGTTGTTCAGTTACACAGTAGAGTCAGACTTTTCATGACCCCATGGGCCACATCCCGCCAGGCCCTCATGTCTTCCGTCGTGCTCCAGAGTTGGTTTAATTTCATGTTCGTTGCATCTATGACACTGTCTAACCATCTCATCCTTTGCCGTCCCCTTCTTCTTTGACCTTCAGTCTTTCCCAGCATCAGGGTCTTCTCCAGGGAGTGCTCCCTTCTCATTTGGTGGCCAAAGTATCTGAGCTTCAGCTTCAGTCTCTGGCCTTCCAGGGAACAGTCAGGGTTGATTTCTTTTAGGATTTGTCCTGCCTACCCCTGCTGATGCCATGCCTGCCCTTGCTGATGCCCCTGAGGAGGCACCTGCCAGCCAGGAGCCTGTGGACTTACAGGCTCCTGAGGACAGTACTGCAGCAGAAAGGCAAAGACTGGATCCTGTAGCTGAAAGCTATCTAAGTGGTGAGGAGGATAGAGCCTCCCAGGGAACACCTGCAAGGGATCAGTCTCTGCTGCAGCCCAGTAATTCATCATGGTTCCCTAGAGTCTCATGGGAGAACACCAATCACCTGCTCCCAAGAGAACATTCTCTCTCTCTCTCATTTGTTAGCAGTTGTTGTTGTTCAGTTGCACAGTTAAGTCCGACTCTTCGCGACCCCATGGGCCACATCACGCCAGGCCCTCCTGTCTTCCGTCGTGCTCCAGAGTTGGCTTAATTTCATGTCCGTTGCCTCGATGACACTGTCTAACCATCTCATCCCTTTGCCGTCCCCATCTTCTTTGACCTTCAGTCTTTCCCAGCATCAGGGTCTTTTCCAGTGAGTGTTCCCTTCTCATTTGGTGGCCAAAGTATCTGAGCTTCAGCTTCAGCCTCTGGCCTTCCAGGGAACAGTCAGGGTTGATTTCTTTTAGGATTGAATGATTCAATCTCCTTGCAGTCGAAGGGACTCTCAAGAGTCTTCTCCAGCACCATAATTCGAAAGCATCTATTTTTCGGTGCTCTTATCTTCAAAGCCTGGGTTGTTTCTTCCCACTACTGGAATCCAGGCACAAGATGG